CTCTCCCCGCGGAGGAGAGGCTGAGCAAGCTGGGAGTCCGCGCTGCCGGCTCCCCTCCTCCCAGCGCTACATAGCAGGGCTCACGCAAGAGAAGAAAAACCTGTTTAGGGATGGAAAAGACAAACGGCAGCCCTCCTCAGCAAGGCTTTCCGGAGCCCTGGGTCACAGGCAGAGGCACCGTGGGTCATACTGGGGACACCCTGAATTAGACAGCCGTGCAAACCCATCTGAGGGTGCTGGGCAGGGGCTGCAGCTGGACGTCCCACCAATGCACTAGGCTCTCGCAGAGCCGGTTTAGTGCTCAGGGAGGACAACCCACGGCAAGTAGCAGGTAGGACCGAGCTTCACAGGCCACCAGCTTTCGCCTTGAGTGCAGCAGGGTCTTTGCGAGGAACACAGCAAAGGGCACGGAGCTCAGCGGAAAGGTCCGAAAGCTTCGCGGGGTTTTGTGGAGGACGGTCATAGGGAACCAGAGTGAGGTGCGGTGACAGGAGCAGCCAGACACCAGCTGCCAAGCTGAAATGGCTGCTACAGCTGTTCACGCACTGCTGTCAGTTTGCAAGAGGAAGCTCACTCAAAGGGGATGTGGTTCAGCCCTGCTAACAGGTCAAAACAGCCTGGAAAGGATGTAGAGGCTAGCTCAGGCTGCAGCTGCGTGAGGACAGACAGCACAGTCACTCCCCAAACCCTCCCGAAGACTGAGAGAGGCTCAGGAGCTGAGCAGAAAGCTCGAGACTCAAATCAGAAGTCACTACCGTCTAGTTGCCTGCAGCAAATTTCTTGAAGAGCGCCCCAAAGCCACAACCAGCAGAGCCCTGGAGCAGAGCTGCCAGTGTTTTGGAGCCAGGGTCCAAAGACCGCATCCCAGACAGGCCTGCGAGCGAGACACGCTGCCGCAGGTGGCTGCACGTCGCCCCCATCACTGTCCCGGCTCCCTGCTGCCCACGCAGACGCAGCACACGCTCCCGGCTCGCAGGCTCACACCCTGCCCCGCTCTGGCATGCGGGCGCGTTTGCTCACCTTGTGACCTGCTTGTGGAAGTCTGTAAGCTGTTTGTGTGTGACTTGGATGGCTCCCCCCGTTGTCTCCTTTGGTAAACCCTTCAGTGAATTCTCTAGCCAGCGACAAAACGTCTGGAGGAAGCAAGAGAAGGGAGAAGCTCAGTGTAGGATGTAGAGCCAACCCAGCCCGTGCCCTGGTTTGGGTGCCAGCAGGTGCCCAGGGCAGCGCTGCCACCTCCTAGCAGGGGGTCCAGGCTTTGGGATTTCCCCTCTCGCGGGGAAAGCTCTGCGTGGTCAGAGCTGGGAGGCTGCAGAGCTCCGCACAGGCCCACGCGCAGCCTGGGACGACTCACGGGCGAGCAGCACTCAGTGCCTTTGCGCAGAGCGGTGACCGCCGGCAGCAGCCTTGCTAAAGGGCTGGGAGTGACGTGCCACCCTGCCTGCCCTGGCGGACGGCAGCGGGGAGGCAAGAGGTGCAGAGGCCGGCCAGGAAGAAAGTCACACTTTATCCGAGGAGCAGGGAGCAGCATTAGCCCTCCCTACCCTCAGGGCAAGGAAGGGCCCAGGGGGTCACCGATACAGACACAGACGGATGGTGATGCTCTGACAGCCGCCCATCACACCAGCTCTACCCTCCTCCCAGGAACAGACCGAACCCATCCCCATCCGCGCCCTGCCACGAGGGACAGCCCAGCCCTCTCACCGGCCTGTCAATCTGCATGATCTCCCAGAGCACCTCGGCGACGTCGGGCAGGGTGTACGGTGGCAGGCAGAAGCAGCACGTGTGCAGCAGCTGGTTGACGAGCTGCTGGCCCAGCTGGTTCATCACCTGGCCGATGAGCTCCTTCCGCACTTCGAAGTCCTCCTCATGCTGCAAGAGGAGGGAGAGCGGGCGCCCAGGAGCGTCAGCTGGGGACAGGGACGTGCTGCTCCCGGCTCCGCACGCGCAGGCGAGGGCAGGACCGAACCAGAGGCAGCCGATGGCGCCCAAAAGTGGGCCAGCGCGGGCTCTCCCCTGGCGGTGGTGGAGTAACCGCGGCTGGGCGAGCTACCGCAGCGGGGCACCTTCCCGGGGGACTGCAGTTACAAACGCAGAAGAGGAAGGCAGCAGCGAGCGTGTCCCCAACTCCGCGGCTCCTTCCATAGAGGAAGGGAACAGGGCTTGGAAGCTGCCCTCCCATGGGGAACAATCCCATGTGCACGTGTCCCCACAGGTCACTCACGTCATTGGCCACCCCGGTGTGGATGAGGTCGCGTAGAAACTTCATGACGCTGCAGTTGGCGTCCCGGTGGTCGAGGGTGGTGGCGGCTATGGCCCACTGCAGGATGGGGATCATCACCTGGCTGCGTAGCAAGGTGACGGGGCTGCGCTGGATAAACCTGATCGGGCAGAGGAGAGACGGACGTTACAGGCACCGGCCTGGCTTCCACACACCCTGCCTACAGGAGTTTCTCCCCGCAGACTGGTTCAGACAGGCCCTCGGCGAGCCTGCCGCCCAGGGGCTGCTGCTTTGCGCTCTCGAGAGCGGCCCCCCTCCTCCACAGCTGGGGGTGGCGATCAGAACTGTCTTCTCCCACCCAACCCAGGGAGGCAGGAGCGCTCCCACAGCCGTGTGGGCACCCTCCACCAGGAGGGAAGGGTACAGAGGAATCCTGCACGGGACCATGCTCCAGCTCTCCCACTTCCAAATCCCAAACCGTCTGTGGTCGGCTGCTGTGGCCACCTAAGACGCCTCCAAAGCGGCCTCTCAAAAGCATGCACAGGTACGGGAGGGACTTGCTGGCAGAACAGCCTGGCCATTCTGATAGAAGTAAGCACCAGCAAAGTTCCCCAGAGTAATTTATACATCTACTCTTGAGATGATTAATTTCTGAAGGCCCTTTGCCTTCCTAGCATCCTCTTGTCTACAAGCAAGAGAACATGTCTTCACACTGAAACAGCCCCGCTAGCTGCGAGGGAGCTAAGGCAGCAGCCCGGGTGGGCTGGAGCGTGCAGATACCTGGTTGCTAGTCGGAAGAGGTCATCCACGGTGTCGGGGTGGTTCTGAAGGCCATTGGGCTGCTCTAGGAGTTGGAAGGTAGGTATGCATAGTGCCTAGGAGAAGGGTCACGGGGAATCCGTTAGCAATTAGCTACAATTATCACATATCCTGATCTCTAGGAACAGCCTGACACTCAAACAATCCTGTTTGCAGAAGGAAGGGAAGGCGAAGAGCGGGGGCTTGCTTTGCTGAATGCCCATTAGAGCAGCTGGGAACACGAGGTGGGCGCTAAGAGAAGGTGCGTTAGCTCACTCGGCGATGCCACCCAAACCTCCCTGCCTGGGTAACCGCGTTGCCTTGTCAGAGGAGAGCAAAGCATCAGGACCGTTGCACTGGGTGGGCTCAGCCTTTTAATGCTAAACTAACTCAGTCCTAGGGCTGCTAGTTGATTGCATTCACCGCACACAGCAACAGTGCTACACAGGCAGTCGCCACGCAGGACCTGGAGACGGACAGTCCTCAGTCAGATCCAGCGACCAGCACCTCCTTCATGACCGCAGAGCTCCCGGGCAGGCGTGTTCCTGGCCCAGCTCAGGACTTGCCTTTCCAGCCCTGCCTTCCCTGTCCCCCTGCACAAGGAAGGCACCACCAGGGTCTCCTGCTCCGAGAACACAGCTAGTCTGTGGCCTGGCAGTGCCCTGCACAAAGCTCTGGGCATTGTACAGAGCTAGGAGGGAGCAGGGGGGACGTGAGCATCCGTACGCTCTTGTCATTTCATCGCCCTCCCTCTGCCTGATCCGATTAGCTGCCCTTAGCTCTGCAGGGAGATTTCCAGCACGGAGCCACAGCATCCACCTCAGACCACACCAGACCAGAGCAGATCCTCACTTCTCTTGCCGACAGCCACCACCGCCACAGCTTAAAGGGAGTTTGGAGCCGGTGGGTTTGGAGCTCTGTTCCTGACGGGGTACTTGCCCCAGGGCAGCAATGCCTTCCTCCAGCGATCTGCGCCTCTGACGAAAAGCCATCCACCAATTCTACCACCTGGTGATCTTTAACCAAAAGCTTCCTCTTCTTGGTTTCGTTCGCCCAGCCCGACTTAGGTGAGAGCACAGAGGTGCTGGGACCAGTCTAAGTTTGCATCAGAGCCCCTGAGGGTAACTGCTCTCAGCCTCCTTAATTCAAACTCTCCCACCCTTGCCTACACCCATGGCACAGCTATCGCCATTAACGCAGCAGGATATTTCCACACGTCAACACAGTAACTAAGTGATTTAGAGACGTGGGAAGCAAACCCCCAGGAGAGCGAGCAGGGGAGCCAGTGCAGATAGGGGCAGGGAGCAGAGACGTTCCCCAGTCCTGAGGGCACTTACCTGAAGCATGTCTAGCAGCCCCTGCCGGCAACCCTCCTCCATGCCGTACTCATCCACCAGGATGCTGCCCAGGTAGAGGAAGCAGGAGTGCTGGTGCGCCCGGTACACATTCACCATCTGCCAGGAAGACACACACTGCCTGCCCACAAGGAACATCGCTCCGCTGAGGGTACCGCAGCCTGCGGCAGCGGGTCCTGCCACCCCAGCGAGCACTGGATGGCCACAGGCTTTCAGACCACAGCATCCTCCCTCTACAGTCCCCCACTCCTGGTTTTCGGCCCTGCTGCGGTCCAAGGGCTGCCTCTGCCTGCTGCCTTGCACACCTTAGGCTCTGCCTAGAGGCACCTCCGCTCCAACTTCCACCACACGTGTCCTGTCAGCCAAGTGCTTTGCCTGCAAGCTGTACAGAGCCTTGCGGGGACAAATTCAGCCGACAACCCAGTCCTGGCTGCTCGCTATCCCAGAGCCCTCGGGAACGAGCTGCAGAAACTGCTGTGGCTCCCAAACTATCTGCACCCCGCAGGTATGATCCATCTGGCTTTGTGCCTGTAAGGGGCTGTAACCCCCAGCTCTCATCTACAGGGCCCTGGTGAGCTATCGAGGGGTGAAGCTGTACGCTCATCATCTTCTGTCACCCCAGCCCAGGGTGTTTCACCTGGGATCTGCTCACCCAGACCCTGACAGTCCCACCTTCTCTCTGAGATAGGCCTATTGCTGTTGCTAGGACTGATGTCCTCGCCTGCTAGACCTTCCCCCCAACCCTGTCACGGGCAGGAGGATACCCCGAAACTCAAGGGCTTGCTCAGGTCAAATTTTGCACTTTGGAGCAGCTTCACGTGTGGCTCCTAGAGCCAATGCAGCTTCCTCTCGCTTTGGATCCTTCTTTAGCGCAGAGGGAGCATTAAGTAGGGCAAGGGATGCTCAATATTAGGCTGAGAGCTACCTCTTCAAGTAGTCGCACGACGTCAAGTTTGATGCATACCTTTCAAATTACAGGTGCAGTTGCAGGGCTCCCACAAACTACGGAGCACGCATCAGGCAGAGCTTAGCTCTTCTCTGGAGTTCAAAGGCTCTCTCAACTACCCAAGGGCATTTTGCGTAGGAACTCCCGAGACTGCCGGTATTTACTGCAAGGCTTTCCAGAGCTGTTTGCTGTCTGGCTATGCAGCGGTGGCAGCCTGGCATCTGCCTGCGGGACGCACTGGCCTGCCAATGCAAACTGACTGAGTGTTTTCTGATGACATCTTCAGTCCTGGGACTGCACCATCTGCACAAGCACATGTAAAGAGTACCTCCTGTCCCGGGGGGCTCTCAGCAGCCTCCGTACCTGTGTGACTAGCGGCTGCAGCAGGGCAGCGGATCCTTTGCCTACGCAGCGGACAGCAAAGCGCAGGCATCGGCAGCAACGTTCCACGATGCGGTTATCGGCACTGTGTTTGTTCAGGGTCTCTGACAGCACGGGCCAGATCTGAGCACAACACGAGGGTTAAAGCTGAACCAGGAAACGGCATACCACAGCGGTACAGCGCCACCCTCCTATCCCAAAAGCACCCAAATCCCTGGGCTGTCAGGCAGATGCCACCCCAGTCCCAGGCAACAACAGGCACCTGCACTACAGGATAGATTATTCTTATGTGCACCAGTTTCAGGAGTGAAGATCCAGCTCCACATTCATCTCAAAATGCTCAGAAATGAGACTGGCTTAACACCTGCTCCAGCACAGCACTACAAACGTTATGAGGGCAGACAAATTAAAGCGCCTGGGAAACTGGTACCGATTCACAGAGCCCTGTCACCCTTCAGGGGTTCAATAGCCAACTCCCCCGGCACCATTCTCAATTTCCATTAGGGAAGGAGCACCACAAGCAGCTCTCCCTGCCCGACCTGCCCAGCAGCCGGCGATTATAGTCGGACCAATCAGCCAACATGACATCCCCATCAACTCACCCCCCACCCCAATCCCCAGAAATTAGTTCCCCAAGTCTGGACCTCCTGGCACTTACTTCCTGAATGACTTTTTGGCACGGATGGATCTGTCCATTTTCTACAATGGGATTGGTATGTCTGTGGAAAGGAGCAAAAGTTAAAGGCTTTTTTCTCCCCCTTCCAAACAGCCAGTTTTTCCGTTCAAGGCCAAGGAAACGGGTTGGAGGCCCTCTTGCCTGCTCCGACTACTGGAAAGGGACCAGAAACTGCCTCAGAAGAGCTGGGGACCCTCGAACTTTGTGCAATCGTTCCCAGTCCATTTCCCTCGGGGGCCAGGAGGAAATGAGTCGTGACTGCCCCTGACTGAGCAGGGCTCTTGGCAGTGCCTACAGGAAGGCCCTTCTCTTGCATGTGGTTTTTGAGTCTCTCGGCAAGAAGCTTCACTTGCTTCAGAGATCAAGTAGGTTCCAAAGAGATCATCAGCGCCACTGGCCGGATGTTCACAAACTCCCTGCACAGACTGTCCCAATCTCTCCTTTCTTACCTAAATATGACAGCGAGTCGATCCAGGGGCACAGTAGGGTCTGAGGAGAGGCCATTGCTTGGCTCCTGAGAGAGCAGCTACAAAACAAGGAAAACAGTGGGATTTCAGGAACGCACACAACCTATTCCCAGCGAAGGCTGCATAAACACCGCCTCGACTCCAGACCCCGCAAGGAGCTCTTTCACATCCCCTTCAGGCCAAAGCTGAGCGGACGTCTCTTCCTATCAGCACAAAGGCAAACGGCCAGAAGCAGGAGGCGTTACAGCAACTCTGAACGGCCACTGACACGGGAATAAACCTTGCCTCGGCCCCAAGCGGCTCTTGGACCTCAGCCACAGGCACACGAGTTACTCTGAAAGCTCAGAGTGGCTTTTTGATTTGGTTTCTCTGCATTCAGAGCCTACCCAGAAGGGATCTCTGAACTAGAAGGGAGCAGAGCCCTAGGCGGAAGAGCTGCTGGGAGATAGCAGCGTTAGCAGGCAGAGCACTAAAAAAACCCAGCCTTCACACACCTCCACAACCACAGGTCATTTTTAAGAAACACAGGACACGCGTGTCTCTGTCTTAGAACTACCTGCGTTTTCCTGCCATGTTCTGAGATTTCTTCCCTCCGTTAACCCTGGCTCTAAATGGAAAGGTCACCAGGGCTACCACATTTTAAGGATAGCCAGAATATGACCTTTTGCAACAGACTGCATCTCTATTGCAACAGCTCAGACTCCAGCAGGAGATGGGACTTGTAGAAGACAGCAGAGGCCACATTCCTCACAGGGAAGTAGCATTCCTGCGTGCTGCGCCTCCACACTGAAGATCCAGGTCGAAAGCTACCTGCCACGTTTGAGGTATTTTCAAGAAGGCTCTTCGGCTCCTGGCACATAAACTAATTGCTATGGACCATTTTCCTACGTTTACAGATTAGATCCTCAAATCCATGTAACCCATTACATGCTCTAAGAGCCATGCACTTGTCAGGTAGCACAAAATCACAGAGCTACTCAGACTTCACGAAGCAACAGTCGTTCAAACCAGATGAAGAAACAGCCTGCGTCACAACCGCTTGTGTTCCGGTCTCCCCAAGCTAGGAGAAGGATAGCAGCAGATTGTTCATGCTATAAGAGGCCCAGCCAATCCAAAGGGGACGTACTAGGAAGTCCCCAAATACTGTGGACTCGCATACTGAATCCAGTTAGAGGATCCAGTTACTGCCCAGCAGCTCAGTCTGGGTTCATACTCTCAGTCCTGAGCAAGCAGAAGATAACATTCATTGCAACCCTGTGGCTTCAAGCACATGGGCGATTACTGCAGCAGATCAAGCCACTGGGCCCAGGCTGGACCACGGGAGCTGCATCGACTCTGATCTGCTGCGTACAAGCCTAGTGACAGACAAGCAGCATGTTACGCAGCTCTGACTGGGACGTACCTTCTTCAGTGCCATCACTTGTACGGCACAGAGTTCACTGAGGCATTCTGCTATCTTCTCTAAGGGGAGCCTGGCGAGGACCAACGCTGTCCCTGAAACACAAGAGGAGGCAGGTTCACAAACAGGAATGCAGCGTAGGAGTTCAATCAGTGAAACACAACACAAGGTTCCCAAACAGGCCCTACCTGCAGCCTGCTGCCAGCCCTGCCTCTGCACAGCAGGGAGAGCGCACAGCTCCAGGGCAAACGCAGAGACAGAGAGTTACTGCTTCCTGGGACTGAAAAAAGGTTTCTCTGACTGCACCACGACTTCACCCTGACTCTTCAATTAAATCACGCACCGAAATACTTTCTGGGGGATGCGAAGGAGGAAGGGATGCCGACATGCAGGAGCACAGGGCTGATGCTAAGAAAAACTGATGCAGCAACCACATCTGGGCACTTCAGGAAGCACAGCTCGTCTCTCGGCAGAGTGTCCTTGCCCTGTCCCAAAGCAGTGTCATGAGGTCTGAGGAAGTTTCTTTCAAAACCTTCTGCACTAGGATCCACAGCCAGGGCATTTTAGGATTCTCGCAAACGAGATGAGAAGAGCACTTAAGTCATTGCCCGCTGCCACATCACAGCATCCTACTCAAAGGCAGGAGTACACACCATTCACCTCGTGTTAAAGGTAAAGCCAGACCACAAAGCCTGGGTTGACAATAACACTGGGAGCAAAACTTCTCCTTGCCCCACAGGATTTGCTGCAACGTTTGAAAGAAGAAGATGAAAGTACTTTGCGGTAGGAACAGGCACCAGTTCTGAAGCGTGGCTAATGCTGCGTGTACTGATACATGAGTGCTGAACAAGTGAAAGCAGGTTAACTTTGCCTCTTTAGTCACATAATCTTACTGTACAGCTGCAACAAAGTTCCCTCTGCAGAAACTCTTTAGCTGCTCCATTTTTTTGCCTAGACACAAATCCTGCACATCCACAAAGCTGGTCACTCTGAAAGAGGAACCGGATGCTCAACAGCTGAACGCCTGTGAGAAGTGAATGCTCTGACTGCAGGCTGTAGTTGAAAAGCTGCATTCTTGTGTCCAAACTCTCTCTTAAATGACAAATACTTGCAATTTTCTACCCTGCATGTACAGCAGCCAATTTCCAAATGCTCAGATATACCAATAATCCATTGTTAATTTGGCTACAAGTACTTCAAACGTTTCCTTCCTGCAATTCAAGTTCAGAGCATCTAAATAGCCATGGAAACAGCTTGTAAACCCAGAGAGCATTTCTTTCTATCTCCTCCTAATGAGATCTGCCCCAAGTGAGCTCCTGAGGAGAGCTTAATGTGCACACGTGGAGTGCCTCAAGCCAAAAAGAGACATCGTCAAAGCTCCCCTTTATTTAGGGGGATAAACGTGAAAATGGCATTGCAACATCCAAGGTAGGCAGCCCTCACAAACTCACCGATTGCTTTTCGGTACATACCCTTAAGGAGTCCCACAGCAGCCTCTGGAGAGAGCGTGAAGGAGTCAAGGGAACGGGCTATCTCTAGCAGCCCGTTAAAGTGCTGAGCCATATGGTCCCGGCATACCGAGCAGATATTGTGAATGGCCTTGGCAGCAGCCGAGGCCAGCCGCCTGTCACACAGACCCTTCATCAAGTAACCCAGCACAGGATCTGAGGAAGAAG